AGCAAGCAGCGGTACCGGCCAGGCAAAGTGTTGCGTTGGCCAGAGCTGACCTTACTGTGCTAGATCTACTCGCTTCGTTTTCAGGGGCATTCCCTTTGCTGCTGCCAGGCCTCCAGGAGACCGCGGGATGTCGTTCGAGTAGTTGTTTGATCATTAGCCCCACTGGTAAAGCATGGAAGTTGTATTTCATCCCCATCTTCCTTGAGCCTCCAGCTGCCTTTAATGGCATCAGCTCTGCTCTTGTTTCACTTTGCTTGAACAGCTTTTTTCCTTTCCTGGTTCCTTCATTTCCTTTCTTGCTCCTCGTTCCCTCCCCACCAAAGCTAACATCCCATGGACCAGACTCCGTCGCTTCTTGTTTTCCCTCGGTATCTTACCTCTGGGTCATCTCAGGCCTGCTGTACTCCGGGTCTGCCTGCTTCCATCCAAATTAAAATCTTAGCTCATCTCTGGTATCAACTTACAATGGACTAAATCTCAGCTCAAGGTAGACACAGCTATAACAGGGTCCTTTATGTCTCCTCCCTCTCCATGCCACCAAAGCCCCTGCCTCACCTGCTGCTTGATCCCTGTGTGCGGTACCACCAATTCTGCTCATCTTTCAGGCCTCGAACCGGGGCTTCCCTTCATGTCCTTGCAGCCAGGCAGTATCTACATCCTGCCGATTCTTCCTTATAGGATACAGCTTTTCCCATCCATCCACGCAGCTGACACTCCTGATTGAACTCATCATCTCGCATCTCAGTTTCTGCAGCATTCTTCTCTCTGGACATGAAGAATGCAGGGCGGCCCCACTCACGTCCATTCAGAAAGCTGCTGCAAAAATCATTCCCCTAGCCCAGCGAGGGCCAACTTTTTGGGCAGTTGTACCACAGATCAGCCCCACACCCTCCCTGGGTGCCACTCTGATCCCCTTTCCCTGCCTGATCTGCTGCTCTGCTTTCTGCTCCCCACCCTGTCTGTCGCTGTGCTCCCTCCCTGATCTGCCACATTGCACACACAGAGGCTGCCCTTGCTACTTGTGGCACATGTGCCCCGTGTTGACTACCCCTGCCTTAGCCCATCACCTTACCCTGCCAGGCCTCTCTCCGTACTCCTTGGCTAGCTCCCCTTTCTCATCCCATCAAACCTAAGTAAGACGTCTTCTCTCTCATGGCCCTCCACAGCCTTATAGCCACCCTGCTTCCCATGTCTTATTTGCTTTCACAGAATCATAGTCATAGAAAATGAGAGTTGGAAGGGACCTCAGGAGGTCACATCCAGTCCACCCCCCCTGCTTAAAGCAGGACCAGCCCTCATTCCATTATCCCAGCCAAGGCTTTGTCTAGCTGGGTTTTAAACACCTCCAAGGATGGAGATGCCATCACCTCTCTGGGGAGTTTGTTCCAGTGCTTTACTACCCTCCTGGTGAGAGAGCTTTTCCTAATATCCAGCCTCAACTTCCCTTGCTGCCACTTGACCTCAGCATTGATCTGCCCATTATATCAGCCGCCATCCCTTAATTTTTCAGCAATAATGTTTTTGCCTCCTGTGCTGCCCCTTGCACCTAAGAGGAACATCCCGTAAATCTCTGCAAAATGATCAGTCCTTCAAAACACTTCCTAAAACTCTTCTTCTTGACGATGCCTTCAAGCCAAGCCTTAGGAGACTGGTGTGCTGAGACCAGTCTGTCGTACTGACTAACACCATCTCATTCTCTTCTACTTCCCCCCCTGTCTGCATGCATGCACGTGTTGTCTTCTGTCTTAGATTGTAAGCTCTGTGCTTGTACAGGGCCTGACACATGAGTGCGGCAGTAATTCAGATGATAAATAATGGCAGATTTCCACAATCATGTCACAGCAGAAAACTCAAGAATAAGCAGACATCTTTAAACCATTTTCTTGCATATTCTCGTGGCTCACAGGCTATGGTGAGCATGGTGTCATCATGGTGACCCAGCATTGGGTCACCTGATTAGCGGAGAACAAATCTGTACGACCCTGTTAGCCATGTAAAATCTCAGTTTGGAGTAGGATTAAGGTAGGTCAGGCCACACTTGAAGGGTGCAGCTTGCGACAGAATAATACAATTACAGTCTAGATTGCCGAAGCAAAGCCTCACTGGGGACCTATCAGCATATCCACCAGTTGGAGACCCAGTTAACAAGACTAATTCTTGGTGTAAGACATTGGTCTGACTAACATAGAGCAAGCTAATCTTCAGAAGCATGTACTCCTCACCTCCGAGGTGGCTGCTTTAGACTGATAGGCGGAAAGTCTAAAAAAGACTGAGGCATGCCCCAGTGCTGGATATTAATGACAGTAATGAGAATCTGATAATGAGAACAGTGAAGTGCACTTTAGAAGGTGGCCATGACAGCTGAAATGAGAACCAGCCCAGACTCATTTGCTAGTTAAGTAGATTGTTAATATCAATACTTCATAAACAGTGTGTATCTGCTGTACTGTGCAAGTACCAAGGGCCGGTTGTATCGTGTAATACAGGGGAACAAGGTTCTAGGACTGTGCGGACACCAGCGGGATTTCCATGTTCTTACCTTGCAAATTGGGCTAGAAATATGCTGTCAACTGCAGGTCTGATACAGCAGGGGAGTTGAAATTCAGGATCCTTTTGCTACCGCCCTGCAGCCAATCTGCGATTGAGTTATTATTCTAATACGTAAAATTCACCCGTTATGCCATGTCCCACATGTACAAAAAGACTCAGCATCACATAGCATTTGCCTGCCTGCTGGCTAGCTGAGGGGATTTGGTCTGCATCCAGAGGAAGTACAAACAGCGAGATTTTGTATGATGTGCATGATGGTCCCAGGGCCACCAGCACTGCTTTCAAACCTACTGAACTAAACAGAACTAAAGAGCTATGAGGTATTGATTGAGCCAGGCTGGCAACACAGGTTGGTCCATCCCCTTGCATAAGCAGCAGTTCAAACATCTTGTGTTGCGTGCTGTCATCTCCTAATGACCCCCCTCTCTCTCACTTCTTTCTTCAGGCAAGCTTGGGATCTCGCAGTTGATATTTGCCTTTCCCAGTTACCAACCATTATAGAGGAAGGAACTGCATTCAGGGTAAGTGATTGAAGACACTGAAATACGCTGTGTCCGATTTACGCAGGTGACTTTCCTTTCACCTTGAGTTCTTTCAGTCTTTCACAGACATATGAGGTTTATGAGCAAGACATTATACGCAGATGCAGACATCTGTGCTTGTACAGGCACATGCATAGGTGTGTGGTGTGTTCTAGCCGGATATGCTGTAAAACTTGATCTAACCGAGATGTCCTCATTAAACAAAGGAAAGGGCTTCTGTCAAATGCCATTCAGCAAGGTTTTAAAAGTCAGAGAAGAAATTTTTGCCAGCAGAAAACGTGTAGGTCCTAGACCTGCTTTCAGAAATGTTCGAAAACTCAGTGAGGTGTCTTCAAATAAAGATGGCGTAGATTTGTAGTCATACATTTGCGGGTTTTCAGTGCATTTCCTTAACACTGGTAGCTTACTCACAGTGGTCATGTTAGCACGAGTCCTTTTATTTGTTGCAGCTCTTGGCTTATCTTGAGCCGTAGAGCGGTAGAATTTTTAACGTACTATTTGTCCTGAATTTCTTTAGATGGGATAGATTTCGCTTGCTATTTCTTTGACATCTCTTGGATGGAAAGCTTTAAATAATAGCTATTGGAAAGATTCAGTAGCCTGTTTGGTCATAATGTTCTGACAGATTCTAGGTTGAACTCCATTAAAGTCACTTGAGGAAACTAAAAATGGGCTTCCTATATAGAATGACTTCGGCTTCTGGCTTGGCTGTAAATACAGCAATTTTCAGATTCAAGAAAATAATATACTCTGAGAGAAGGAAAAAGCAGGCTCTCCCTGCAAAGATGGCCATATTTGGTTGATCTTAACCCCAGTTTGTTTTCTTATTGGACCTTCCCTTTCCTCCTTTTTTGGAAAATGATGTAGTTTTTTCGTGCTCTTATTTTCAGTTACCTTTCCCATTCCTTTACTGTGTCTGATCCAGTACGCAAAATAGTTCTGCTTATTTTCCCTATGTACTCCTAGGTTCATAATGTGTAGGTGGTTGATTGAAACATTTATTTTTGATTAGTGATAAATTGATGTCACCTGTATTTAAAAGCAGCATCCAAGAAACTCGCCTGTACCCTGCATCTACTCTGGGTCTCCCAGCATGTCATTTTGGCATCAGTCTCCCTTGGTTGAAAACTCAGTGGGAGCAGCGGTATCTCCTGTGTCTCCTGCGCATAGAAGGATGATCTTACCGGCGTCCTTTTGGCTAGGCCCAAGAGGGACCAGGCTGGGTTCAAGAAGAGCAGAGAAGAGGAGACTGCTGGAGCTCAGAAAACAGAAAGAGGCCTCACTGCGAGTTGAAATATTGCAGACAGAGCGAGAAGGCCTAGCAGTCCATCTCATTTTCCAGGGCTAGGATCCTAATGTCAGTTTATAGGAAAAGCCATATAACTGCCTAGCAAACTCCCTGTCTCGGTAGTTATAGCAGAATCTGATCTTGTTGCTGCAGATTCATCCAGATACATTATGGTGACTGGCTGAATGCCTGGTATAAATTTATGGGGGCAGAGTACTGCATCTGAGTTTGCTAGACTCCTTCTGTGATCGAGCCAGTTCTGAGGGAGTAACTCCAATAACAATATAGGCATTTCTGTGCACTTTTAAACCAGTTATTCCCACACACGCTGAATGGCCGTTAAAATTGAGACAAACAAGGAAAAAAACAACCCTCCTATGTCTTGCCTATGGCAGGATGCTTGACTTTCTATACAGCTCATTTTCCCAGACTCCAGAGCACAGCGTCACAATCTGTATAGCCTGGCTCTACGATAGGTGACTGCAGATGAGTGAGGGTCAGCCCAGTGCATGGAATAAAACTGGTATCTGTCTCCACCTCTTGCCAAACTGGTTGTGAGGTTTAAGGTGTGTGTGCGCGTGTGGAAGGGGGTGGGTGGTTAAGGGGTACATTTGTGGGGTGGGTGCGTGTTTGAACTGTTGCCAGGACTTGGTCCTTCCATTGTACTTGGCAGCATGTTTGTCAGGATTGCCCCCGGGGTCAGGTTTTGTGTGTCCGGCTTTGCATAAAAGACTGGGTTGAGTGACAGAGAAAAGGTGGGTCTGAGAGTTACAAGCTTCTGGGGTAAGAGTGTGGCCTTGAGTCTATACCTGAACTTTGGTGCCAGCCTCCTGCACACAAGCAGAATACAACCAGGTTTAGAATAAAGCATCTGCATTTTGCACGAGTTGTCGAGCTTCATTTTCTCAGGAGGTTGAGAGCTTGGCCCCCGGTTCTGCCCGAATGACCAAGTACAGCGCAAACACCTCTACCCCGAGAGTGGCTTTCAGCCCCCTGTTCTCTCCATGGTCTGTATTTTAAAGGAGAAATGCATGCAATTACCCCTTTCCTGGCCTGCGTCAGAACTGCAGCTCAGCTCTGTCCGTGCACGTGTGTATGTGTATGTGTGTATATGTATCCCTGTGTCTGTCTGGGGTCTCTGCTGAGTACGAGCTGCCAGCTGGGCCATATTGTAGCAAGCAGCGTTCTGGTTCCTGGGGTGAGAAGAGAGAAATATCTGAGAAAGCGGCAGACTTGGCACTTCCAACCCAATCCGGATGACCAGAAGTGCAAGCGACCCATCCTCTGGGATGCAGTTTGGGCCAAGTTTCATTTAAAATCACACGTGCCTGAGGCTGTATAAGTTTGTGCGCCTCAGTGAGGAGAAGAAGGGCCTTGCTGTGTCAAATAATTTATCTTTAAGAAGCCTCCCTGTACAGGGCAAAGCTCACTCTCTGCAGCTTTGACTCGTGGTTAGACCGGGAAGACAGTGAAAGATCCTTGTGTTCCTTGTTTTCTAATGGGTGTTTTGCCCTCCACCTTCTGGTTTATACCTGGCAGGAAGTCTTGTATATCAGGCCAGGCTGGTGGCTGGCAGCCAGCGGTAATCCTGTAAGAAATGGTTGTTTAATGCAGGGCAGGGAGGGGAAGAGCTACAATTAGTCTTTCATAACTGGACTGGCAGGGGCCGCAGTCAGCATCTCGGATGTAAAGCGTTTTAGGGAGAGCCAGAGGATTACTGAGCTGCCATTTGCACTTCGGCCACTGTGGGTTTAGATTCAGGTCCAGCCCTGGATACTCTCTTCTTCAGGGCTGTTTTGCTTCAAAAGCATCGTATAAACCACAAGAACCTGACTTCTGAGTACTCGCTGTGCTCTTTCCTGGTCTGAGCTGGAAAAGCATGCTTTCCTCCTTGAGCAGAGCCTGCAAACGAGGAGCAGCCTTTGAGGGGGAAACATGGGGTGGAGGGAGGGAGGTGATTGGCATACGGCAAAAGGAATTTCCTCCAAGGCAACTTAGAACTGGATTCCCTGCCATCTTGGCTGGCAAAGTGTCATTAAACCTTTAGTGTCAAGTCTGGGTTAAAGGCAATGCATTCTGGTGCCAGCGCCTTGCATCTGCCTGGCACCCGAAGGGCGATTACTAACTCCTAGAGAAATAATTGATTTTTTGTGCCAAAAGGAAGTCAGGTTGTGGAAGGTGCCAGGAAGCCCTTGCTTTTTAAGCCTCTGTAGAATTTTCTTCCTGGCACTCTGGAGGGTAAATGGCACTTCTGGGATTTTTCAGTTACTTGAAATAAGTATTCTTTAGTAGTCATCACGTGCTCTTGCCCTGTCAGCCCACAATAGGCCTGTCGGGATCCACCTGAAGAGTTGTTTGACCGCGTATGATGGAGAGCCTGCTCTATCTGTCCTCCCATAGGAAGGGGGTGGTGTAGAAAGATGACTTGAGTAGGAGTTTGGGGCTAGCTAACGCACTTGTTGCTTTGCCACTTAAAGTGCATAACTCCAAACCCTGCTGATGAAGCCATGAGCATAAACGTAATGTCTTATTTGCCTTCTGTCGCTTGTAGTGTGTTCATAGATGAGCTCTGCAGTCAGAAACCAGCTACGCTCGCCTCGTTCTGACGTGCCCCACGAACGGCACCTCTCGGTGAATAAACCTGCTAGTTCGACTGCTGATGTGCAGGGCACTGGGGGAGGTCCCCCTGCTCGCAGCACTGCCACAACCTCTTCTGCTGCCCAAGGACTTCAGCACGTTCCCTGCTCCTTGTCCCATTGTCCTTTAAGCCATTGCTCCGTGTCAAGGTTACCGGAGACCATCACAGTTGTGACACGCTTTCCAAAAGGGCAGTGTAGTTGTTCGGCATAACTGTCAAAGCAACACGGAGCAGTTGTTCCAGTAGCCCTGCAGTCTCTCTTGCTGCATTTCAATCAAAAAACACTCTGCTTTATTTTTAAGCCGGTTTATGAATATCTCAGACTTAGAAAAAAACTCCCCCCACATAGTTAGATATTCCTGCTCTGCAGAAATTATCCATCAGATAGGATTTATCTCCCCATTTCTTCATTCAGGCTGCTCCTGGGCACATTCATGTCACAGACTCTGGGCAGAGTTCGAGGTATTCAGGACCTCTTGACTCTAGAGATTCATGTAACTGGGAAATGTAGGTTCAGGTACTTTAAATATAGGCTTTTCAGTAGTGCTTATCACTGTATTATCTAAATGCATGAGTAAGGGCTGGGGAGTAATGACTGATAACAATTATACTTTTTTCCCCAAGTAATGAGACTTCTTCTGGGTTCTGCTGTGCAAGTCTGTTTTAAGCTTATTTTCCTACATTGTTAGGATCTTATCAGCTGAATTGATGGATTCATTAGAAATAGTTTCTATTCTAGATTTCTTTTATTGGGTAGATGAAACCCTGGGATACCACAGTGATGGGTAGGTAGATGAAAACCTCCCCTGTCATAGTCTCTCTCTCACTCAAGTACTCGCGCACACACACGCAAGGACACACACACTGAGGGGAAGCCTACATGCAACCCAAAAATGCATTGCTGAATCACCAGCCCTTTTCCAGGAGATGCTTAAGGCAGCCCAGGGAGGAAGAAAGGTGGGCACAGGCACTTTTTATTCTTGCTGGATGATTTTCACCTTGGACTTGGCAAAGGCAGAACCGTGTATTACATAAGTGAAACCAACTCTGCAAGGAAGATAAATTAACTGCTACTCTGTCTATTCTGCCCATGGAAAATGTGCTAACAACATTTCCCCCAAATCTGTTTTGCACAAGATATATTCTTCCCTTCCCCCGGCTGGTTTTCAAGGATATAACTCAGGGGAGGATGGCATATTTCCTGTGCTCTCTTGAGGTGTGAGAGAGCAGGCTTGGAAAAGAATCCTGTTGGGAACAGCACGCTGTTCTGGTGGTTAACTGATGCCAAAAACCGTGGTCTCGCCTGGTCAGGGGGTAAACTCACTGCAGTATTCTCGCCCCAACAGCACAGCCCGTTCTTTGCCGAGCAGCTGACGGCGTTCCAGGTGTGGCTGACAATGGGCGTGGAGAATCGCAACCCTCCCGAACAGCTCCCGATCGTTCTGCAGGTGAGGCGCCTTGGCACGGGGCAGGCTGTGAGCTAAGCTGGCTGGCATGGCTGCGACTCATGGGCACTCAGCCACGAGCTGACTCCGTGTGTGTGTTTTCGCGCATGTCTTTTCCCTGCCTGCTGAGTGCCGTGCTCTTGGCCAGATGGTGTTTGGGTAAATAAATTACATGGACTCATTCAAGACTAATTGGAGTTGATTGTGTATTTGTTAGACCTCTGCTGATAAAGACACAATGCTCTCCTCTCCCCAGCACTACCCCTTCAGTTAAGCATCAGTTCAGGCTGTGGCGTGCTAGCCAGTTAGCAGCATCAGGCATCTCGCCCCCTCCAATTTAACTGTGAATCGGCAAAGCCATTTCACAGAATGGGGCACTTGTTTTGTTGCTTCCTCCTCTACCCGCCCATCTTTCCTGCCAGCTCTGTGGGGCTGGGACTTTGTCATCTCTCTGCGTTTGGAAAGCAGGCACAACCACGAGCAGGGCAATAAGTGAACGGCTCCTGGATCTGCTCCTTGTCAGGGAAGGCCTGGACTGGTAGAGCAATAGAAGTGTTCCCCTGCTGCTGGGACCGCACGGGCAGCAGCCTGGCTGGAAGGAGTGCAGAGCGGTGCATCGCCCTGCTCGGAGCAGGCTGGTTTGCTGGCTGAAAAGAGAACAGTTAATTTGGGTGAGCCCAGGACAGGCTTAGCACCTCCTCCGGAGCTCTCTTTCATGGCAAGACAGTGGAGAAATATGACAGCTGCCCACCCGTGCCCCAGGGGCATGCTGGGCGCTGAGAAGTGTAAACCCTTCCCAAGGGACCTTTGGCTGGCAGTGTCTGAGAGAGAGCTCTCCCACTTGAAGGATTACGGTTCCAGTCTTCTACCAGTACAAGGGCATCTATTTTCCTTTCCCATAATGAAAAAGGATTCCTCTTCCTTCTTGCAGTCACTAACCTGCCTTGCGACTTGACAGCGTTATCAATCTTCACAAGACCAAATCTTAATTTCTCTGAGCCTCCGAAGTCTGCAAGATCAGTAGGATAAATAGATGAGCAGTTTATCTCTGTCACTGCTATCGGAGAAGGCAGGTTTTCCCTTTGGCGCCAAGTCCACTGCCTCACGCTGAATTAGCCGGCACCAGAGGGCTCTGCCAGCAATTAACCTTGCAGCAGCATTGAACTCTCATCTAGGGCAGGAATCCGTGCCCATCTTCACAGGTGGGAGTGGGCAGGATCAACGTGGCCAGTGTCAGCATGATGCAGAAGCGCGAGGGTTAATGTGCCAGCAGAGTGCTTTATAAATGGGAATTGATATTTGAGTAGGCATGGGTCAGGGAGCGAGAAGGATGCATTCCTCAACTCCCTTTGAGTGCCTTGTTGCCCAGAGCTTCTGGGCCTCTCAGCTGCACCCTCCTGCCTAAGAGCAGCATGTTGCTGCTGCTTTTGCTTTAGATGCATCCCTGGAGGGAGAAGGGCATTTGTGTGCCAGGGGCATGGTGCCAGCTATGCTGAGGACAGCAAAGCAGCCCTTTTGTAAATGGCCTTTTATTGACTTCAGAAAAATGCAGTCCATTTAGAAGCCCTGCTCTCTCGGGAAAGGTCTGACAAAGGAGGCTCCTGGTGCTGAGACAGGAGAGAGGAGGACTGTGTGAAAGAGAAAGTTGGCATGTTCAGTCTGAGAGTCTGAAACAAGCCTGAACGACAGGCCGTTGGGCCTCGCCAGGGCATCTAGGCAGTGTCCAGCTCTTGTAGCCGGTATTAACACTTCTTCACTTCTTCGCTGGGGCAGAATGGAGAGAGGCTGCTTCAGTCGGTGCTTCCCTGTCAGAACGGCAGCTGCTGCGCTGACCTGGTTTCTTCTGTCCTGCGTTACCTTGGAGCCGTATCCAACAGCCCAGACCCCACGATGCATAAATGATCTGCTTGTGTGTTGGCAGCTGTCTAACTGGCACGCTCAGGCTTCCTTGGCTCTCTCCGATCAACTTCCCTTCTTAAACGCCTGATGTTCCAGATTTGAAATCCGCTTGCTTCTAATCCTGAATCAGGGGCTGGACGTCTGTGTGGGCAGTTACTTTTCACATTCGGAGCTAATCAAATCAAAGGAACTTGTGATCCTTGCTTCTAAATGCAGGAAAGAAAACAGTTGCCCCCACCGTCCCCGTGTTCAGTTTAGAAGTAAAGCTTCTTGTTTTATGGTGATGGAGATATTGGGAGGCTGCAGTTTGGAGAGAAATGCAGCTGTTATCCCAATTTCTCTCTTCCAGTTTCTTTAAGCTATCAGTGTTGCTGTTGTTCGGCACTGAAGATCTGGCCACGCGAGCCAAACTGCTTTAAGGGGTGTGAATACCAAAGCCCAGGTGCCTTCAGGTTGCTGGGCACAGGCTGAGTGTAGACATGCTGAACCTGACCCTTGGAGTGCACACCTAGCACCTGACACCTCTCTGGTTAGTGGGGACCTTGTGGGCTAGCTGCTGGGCCCTGAAACAAGTTGCAGTGCCCCGGGTCACCCCACAAGCTCTTACATGGTCCCCAGAACCCATGTGAAGATGCAAGCTCATACCTGATTTCTTTCAGGGCTACGTGATGGCTGTAACACAAAGCAAGCACTGAGAAGCTTTGCACAGGGTTTCTAAATGCATGTACTCTTTACTTAAAATATGAGACAGAAGAGGGAATGGGTCTCAGCAGAGTAATAAACCCTACACCCATTGCCAGCACTCGGTTACCTCTCCTCTGGAGCAGTCTTGGGGCTTAAGTCAGGTTCCTCTAAGTGTCTAGGATCCTTCATGGCTTCTTTTCTGTCATGGAGCCATTTCCCATCTCTTGTAGGCCTGTTTGCTTGACCAGGTCACACAGTTAAATTGGACATCCTGGCTGTAAAAACCATTTATTTCATCTTTCTCTGTGGCTCTGTGAATCTTTGTTCCTGTGAAGGCTTTTTAAACACCCCTGCCACCTCCATCCCTTCGTCCAGTTCTGGGATTTTCCAATCCCCAGACTCCAGCTCTTTGCAGAGAAACTTGCCTGCCTGGTTTTGCTGCTCAAGCAGCCCCCGTACATCGCTTTTGTTCTCAGATGCTTCCACCTGAATGGTGATGTGCTAAGCTTTAACGTTTGGCCTTATCCGTTGTTGGGAAAGGATGTGACAAAGTGCTGACAGCACACGGTGAATGCCACGGAGAAGCATTCTGTCATAGAGCAATATCATATCAACCAGTCGCACGTAGATACATTTCCCAAATTGTCATAGACATCTCTTGTGTTCACGTCACTCTCGTCTTTGCACAGACTGGCTTCAGGAAGCATTTGTCTATGCACAAGAGAGACCCAGCTACGTTTTTCAGATAATAAATTGCAGTTTTACAGTAAAACATCATCTAGATTTCATTAGCTGCGCCTGTGGGATGTTAGCAGCAGTAAGATGCTTTTCCTTGCTCATTTAGAAACCCTTTTAAAAGCTCATCCATTTTTCCCTGTCTCTGACAGAATGTATGGATTTATTTAGTTCTTATTGAAATGAGGTCGTAATAGCACTGTCATACCTGTGTGACCCCCAGCTCTGCTGCAGTGCTTTGCACCTCACCTCCATCCTTCAGGCCTGCCTCCTGCTGCTCCTGTCCTCACCGGAGACGGCTGTCCCTCTTGTCCCAAGAGAATCTGGACCATGTCTAACTGCTGATCCTGCCAAATAATTTAGTAATGCCATGGTGTGGAGAGGTACCAGCAGATTAGGATGACCACAGTTCTTTTGTTTTTGACCTATTCTGGGCTTTGAGCTCTGGCATGGATGAGTGATGTGCTCACTGCTCCCCCAGCCCCGATAACAATCCTTTCCCTCTGGGCAGCTACACATACCTGAGGATCCAGTGGGTTGTAGCGTAGGACGCAAGCCAGGCAGTGTTAGTTGCTCCTCAATGTTAACCACAAAAAAAATGTTGGATTTTAATAGCCCGAGTGTGAGGACGCCAGGGTGGGGAGGATAAATTGGAGAACCAAATTAGCAAGCCTCTTTCATGATCCATACCGAGGGATGCTGCTCAATTTAAACAGAGGATTAAGTGTTGCATTCCAAAATCTTACATCTGTTAAGGAGATTAAGAACTGAAAGTCTCAGTCTGTTAATATTTCACACTAGGGTAAATGTAAGCCAGTAGACTACTAGCTCATTATCATCATCAAACTCAGCTTTAATGAGATTTTTATTAAAGACTAATGTGACCTCTTGCTTCACTCTTAAGTCTGTTACAACTGTTTGCCAAGGAAAGCAAAGCCTTTTTTTCTGCTTCTGCACTGCTTTGGGTAACAGGTGGGGCTCATTGTTCATTCTGAATCCTTCCACGGGATGCCTTCCTTCTCCTGCTTTGCTCCCTTCATTGCTCTGTGTCTGGAGAGAGCATTTCATGCCCAGATTGGTTGCTGCCATCTAGCAGGCCTGTGCTGGATGCAGCCCCTGTGCCTGTGGGAAAAGAAGGGCAGATGTCAGGAACCACTTTCACCTGATGGAGCCATAGCCTGGGGTTGGAAAACAACCTGCGTTCCTGGAAGATGCATCTACATCTGTCGGCACAAAACTTTTTGATAGAGACCTTACCTGTGTCCGAAGAGAACGGTTACCCAGAGATCTTCAGTGGTGCCAGACTCCTGCTGCTTAGTTTTAAGCTGTGGCCTTGAACGTGGCTGGTGTGCGAGTGGAGAGGGGACCCCATAACACTTGCCCTGTGGATACAAGGCTTTCTGCTCTTTGCACTAATATCTGTTTCCCCCTTTCACTGCAGGTGCTGCTGAGTCAGGTGCATCGGCTGCGAGCTCTTGACTTGCTGGGAAGATTTTTGGACCTGGGTCCCTGGGCAGTTAGCTTGGTATGTATAGGTTGCATGCTCCCTTCCGAAGGCTGAGGCTGTTTCTCAGTACAGGCGGTAGGCTGGAATGGTGATTGATGAATGCATGGAGAAGAAAATAGCTCGTGTTTGCTGCATGGCCAGTGTTCGAGAGCAGCCAGATGACCCTGAGGTCAAAATAAACCAGGTTGCCAGAGTTTCAGCAGGGGCTGGATGCAGCTGAGAGTCCTTTATCCTTTATATTTAGTGCACATCAGCTTAAAGGTTGCCACTGTGGCCTGTGTTTTGCCCCTTTTTTCCAGCTGAGATTGCACATAGTAATGGCTCCTACAAGAGAAAAACTACGTGGGAATGCACAGGCAGCATCTCCGGCTCTGGTAGGCATGCAAGACATGCCTAACTAATTACCAGGGTGACGCGAGGCCTCTGAACTCCAGCAGCAAAGCCACAAGAGTTTCCTTTTGCTAAGAAACAAGTTCAGCCCTAGCCAATTAGGGGATCAGACCTGTACATTTCATCTGCCTTCAAATGGGAGCGACCTGGGGCAGATGCACCTGAGAGCAAGGCACCTTGGAGTCAGGGCAGAGGCTGAGTAAGCGCATGCTGTGACCTAGCTGTGCAGCTGGTGCTGGTGCTGGTGCTGGTGCTGGAGCAGTCCTGGAGCGCTGCACTTCCACTCCTAAATATAAAACTGTATTTAAACGACCAGCATCGGGAAGCAGTGGCTGGGACAGCTGGACTGTTTATATCTGCCATATACACTAAATTAAACATGGAGCGAGCCATGTCTTTATTATTCCCCGATCACTCAGCTCACGGGCTGCAGCCCTTTTCCTTGACCTTCATGTGTTTGGTCTTCGTGTTGTGCAAGCGCTCCAGGACTGGGGACAGCTGCCTTCTGCATTTGGAAGTGGCCTGGCACAGCATGGGTGATAAATAAGAATGAAACAGGAGATTCGTTTGAAATACAAATGTAAGTGGTTTCAGTTGCCTCCTGTTAACAGACAGGGCTCTTGAGGAGTTAGTGGCAGACAGTGAATAAGTGCCTGGACTGGACTTTCCATGGTTTTGTCTTGTAGCTCCCCATCCAGTCCAGATTCTGATATCCATCTCCTGCAGGCACAGCGTAGAAAGCATGGCCCTGCCACGGGTGTCAAAAGTGGCATTTGGACTGTGAGCTGCCCCCTCGGGCTCGAAGCTTACAGCCTCTGAGACCTGTTTAATGTCACCATAACCTTCCTTATGCTGCTTGCTACCTTGAGTGTAAACCAGGTGGGCCATAGCAGCATCTGGTACAGCTCCTGTCCCTTCTGGGCTCACTTCACACCTAATGTGGCCTATAGCAGACTAGGACAGTGTCTGGTGAGCTGCTTCCCACCTCTCTGTACCAGTAGTGCAGCCTGCAAGTGTCAGAGACGGGAGCAGAATCCCTGTGCTGAGGTTCATTTTGCAGAGCTTTTGTATAGGGTATCTACAGCCGCTCCACAATGGTGGGAGGCACAAAGATTTAACTAGCTCTCTGCCCCTCTGTGCGCTTAGTCAGTCTCTAATAGCATTCAAATAGCTTCTTTAAAAGCCCGAGTAAGGTGGGGACTGTGAGTTCCAGCGGAAGGATTGTAATTACTGAGTCGGCAACGTGTTTACTTGTGGGAGCAAATGGGGCCATCCAAGGGAGGAGAGCGGCATGTCATGAGGCATGAAGTACCGCATGCTGGAATGAGTGAAAGCTTAGTGCTAGATGAAGTCTGGGTCTCAGCGGGCCAGACGAGTCTGAAAATATCTAGTGACAACCAAGGCTCAAACCAGCACCAGACCAGGAGATGGGGATCCCTAAATGCATGCAGTTGTTTTCCACCAGATTTCTCTGTGGCATAACCAGCGTGCTGTTCAGCCCTTGTCAGGTGGTGCTCCTGCAGGAGGGCAGTGAAGCTCGTGGTGATATACTCTTCTCTCTTTCTCCCCAGGCCCTCTCTGTTGGCATTTTCCCTTATGTGCTGAAGCTTCTTCAGAGTTCAGCTCGGGAGCTGAGACCACTTCTCGTCTTCATCTGGGCCAAAATCCTTGCAGTGGATAGTGTGAGTACTCCCAGACCATTACCACCATGCCAGTTCCTAGCATTGCTGTCTTCCTTAGCCAGCTGCTTTCAAAGGGATCCGTACTGAGGTAGTGGGAAGGGCAGTCTGTGCCATCTGCAGTGGACCCAGCAAGTCCTTCCAGTGAGTTTCCCACTGTCAATAGGGTTCACTGCCCAAACTTATTCATGCACAATACCCGCTGGTGGGATGACAAGCCTGATATGAAATGGCTCATTGGCTTACCTGCTTGTTCACTTGATTTTTTGCAAGCAAACAGCAGTTCATTGAAGAAGCTATTCCCGTCTGCCTGGAGTGAAGCAACTCCTGTCCTTGTTCATCAGGCACGCTGAAACGTCGTGGTGATTGGAAGAAATTCCAGGTCCGGCCATGTTTGTGTACAAGGGGGACCCGAGATTTAGAAGTGCGGGGGTCAGTGCCTGCTAGATCTCATGGCTCAGTCCTTGGTGATGGGCATGCGCACTCTACGTTCAAAACACACAGATGTGTATTACTTGGTGTGAAACTTGATTTGGCCAGGACATGTCCCTTCCAGAACTAGAACAGCCCCCCATAACTAGTATCTCAAAAACTAGGTATTTTGGAGAGCTTAGCTACAAATGTTACTCACAATCTAGTCCTGTCCTCTTCTCTGTGCTGTCACAAAACCTGAAAGTGCTGGGCTTCACAGCCTTGACCAGTCCAGAGAGGGCAGGACATTGCACTGCTTCTACAGAAGGCCCCGGACGCTGCACTGCTCTTCCCCTCAGGACACGCACTAGTAGCTCTTTGGCATCCTTCAGGACTTGGCCTGAAACTTGGGGCCAGATTTTTGAAGACGGCTGTAACTGGGACTCATAATTTTGTTAATACAAGTAATTGAGAAGGCAAGTAATTGCAGGTGAAACTGCTCTTATGCATGCAGCTCCTTGGATTGTGGGTGTGAGCAGTAGTTCAGTATGTAATTAGCAACACTGATACCCACAATTAATCTCAGGCATGGTTATTAGCTGATATAAAAATCTCCTGAATTTCCTTTTAAATCAGAATCCTTCCTGATTTTGGCATTGGTTCCAGATTTTCATTATCTGCTCTGGTTTCATTATCGGGAAGGTTACTGGGTGCGCTGAGACTTTCTTCACTCCTGAGCTAATGTTGTCATGTTTAGTTCTGTAAATATCTTTTAGTTAACATCTTAGTAGGCTCTTGGATGGCGGAAAGCACGGAAGTTATTAATTTTCAAGCTACTCTAGGAAGCTAAAGCTTCTGCCCCAGATACTGTGTACAGGAGAATATAGGGATATTGTAGGATTCGCTTAATTGACACATGCCACAATAGAAGCAAAGATTCGTGTTTATCAGAGGCTAAAGGGCTCTGGCCTATGTCATGAGCTGTTTTAAAAATAAGTCTAGACACAGCTTTCCAGTCCCAGTTGGCCAGAGACATGCTCAAATATGCTTGAGACATCTTTGGGTTGCTAAGAGGAATAAAAAGCTGTATGCTGACTATGCCTGCATTATGTATTCAGAACCACATAACTTTCCAGACCATGTTTCCCTTCCCCACCCTTTTTCGCTCCCAGAGGATTAAATGCAACAGCACGAAGTGCAAAGCCAGTACCTTCACGACAGAAATGAAGGAGGGAAGCGGGAATGTGCTCTCCTAGTTGATCCGGCGGTACAGCAGCCTGTATCATAATACCTCAGCTGTGAGGCATCCTCTCCCAGGTGGACATGATGCTTTCAGAGAGAGCTGGTTTGTAAGATTTATGAGGGAAGTGACGACTGCAGGGGTATGCCTTGCGAAAATAAGAGAGAGTATCATCTCAGCTGCTGAAGGCAATCATGAGAGGCTGTTTTTCATCCTGCTGACTAAAAGATGGATGCAGTGATTAATTGTTAGACTGCATTGAATCACGACTGCTGCAGTGTTAGAGTACAGCAGGAATGAGTGTGAGTGTGTGTGCGAGTGAGTGACTGGGCCAGCCTTGATTAGATCCCCATACTGGGCATGTTTCTAGCTGGATCAGCTCTCTTATGTGGGTAGGTGTTACATCAATCATCCAGGCAGAGGCCAGCGCTCCTACCATGTAAGAACACGTACATATTTTCAAACATTTTCCCAGAGAAACTTCCTACGCAGTCTGATTTGAGCAGCACCATCTTCTTCATGTCACTTCTACTCTATGTGCATCATGCTGTAGTTGCAGGAACTGTGGAGATGAGGGCTGCTACCAGAGCCAGAGTTCAGCTAATTGCTTTACACTGTTTGCATTTGGATAGGGGCAGGGGCAGGAATAGCTTACCAGAGACTCCTTTCATTCTTCCTCGCACTTGTTTGGACCTAGTGCTCTGAACAGCAAAATACACAGCTCTGTTTTTATTCCTGTTTTGCTTTCTCCCTCCATGCAGGAGCACTGAAGCCAAGGAAGTAGTCTGAATGAATACAGGCAAGGATGAGTGGGTGTGTGTTCTGATGTGTGTGCACCGTATGGCATGCATCTTTGTTCAGAAGATGCCCTGATTAGTAACTGCCCTGTTTAAGAGTTGTACCATTGTCATGCGAGCTTCAGGGAAAAGCAAACGGAGTTGATGGAAGTGGGTCTTCTAAACAAAGGCATATGTGGGTGTGCTTAATAAACTCTGCAGCAGTCGAATCCACTTGTTTTAATCCTGCCTGTATGCAGGCATTTCTCACTGAGATGTTCAGAGATGACTAGCTATGCAGGGCTGGGTTGTGTTGGAGTGTTTCCAGCCAGTCCACCTGCTGTGCTGCACAGCGCATGGATCAGGTGATGGCTCTGAGCCTGCCTTTCATAGGTGCCCAAAGCATTAAGTGGAGGATTGGTGTGGCCTGCTGCAACATATGAACAGCAATAAAAAGGGAAGTAAAGGGTCCCTGCAGAGACAGTCAGGCCAAGAGCCCTCCCTGCGCTAAACTGGTATCATTTCATGCACGGCATTTTCTGCATCTTAAATATCTTGCTTAAAAGTTCCCCACCATAATCAGTGACAAGCGTCAGGGCAAAAGATCTGCAGACGAGACCAAAGCAAAACAGTGCTCAGCTGCTGGAATCTGCAGCCAGCAGAGACCACCCGAGTTGACCAGTGAACTGTGACCTAATGGTAACGGCGTTACTGATGACATCATAGTCACTGACCCCGCAAACAAACGGGAAGATGGCAAGTGCAGTTCATTCAAGTTCTGCGTAAAACAATACAGCCCAAATTCAGTACCTGTAAAATGGAGAAAATATGGCATTAGCAAGGACAGTGTGGAAGTCTGAGATGCTTTTTAAAGCTGTGAGTTTTGACCCTTTAAATAGCATGTATCTAGCTGCCAGGCGTGTCCCGTCTGCTAGTGGGCTGGGTGGGGAGCAGTGGCACCCCGTGGCCAGTACAGATGTTCCAGGCGGGTGTTCCCGCGGGAGAACTTTATGCAGTTACAGGCTCTATATTCAGACAGCTTGAAGGGCTACGCACCATGCTCGTGCTGCATCGCCTGCGCCCAGTTCTTGTACCGTAGTATTGGGTGCTAAGATCAGTGGAAATAGCTTAACTACACTTTGGTCCCTCTTCTAGAACTGGAAGCTTTTTACTTCACGCAGATGCTAACTTTCGCATCTACCCTGCCACACTTTTGTTCATGTTCCAGGATTGTTCTCTAGTACAGGATGCTGATTCCTTGAAGGAGAGACATTATTGACACTGTATATTAATATTGTTCTCGGGCACCACTTAGAGAACATATTAGCAAAGTGCGTGTTTGGAGCTGTGATCTGCCTTCCTGCCTGTAGCCTCAGATGACTGCCTGGTATTGAGAACAGGCACTGTGAAGAGGGACAGTCTCTTCTGAGCTGGCATCTGTTTGCTTGCACACCGGGGAGGGAAGACTGGCTTTTTTATGGGGCAGCACCATGAAAGCTAAAAAGGATGCAGACAAGGAAACCAGCCATCCTCCTTGTGCAGCAGTATAGGAAAAGTCAGGCAGACTTCTTGCTCAGTTTGGCATTGATTCAGCTGCTCTGCTCTTTGGTCTGCTGCAAGCAGCATCTTTAGTTGCTTCAGCAATGAAATATTCTCTTGCATCTCTGTCTTTCCTGCCCCATCCTTTCAACAATTAGTTTTCCTTCTTTACCCTCCATTCCTGGTTAAATATGCATGACCCTGTCTCTACTGTGAATCAGAATCACAGCCACGACGGGAGTTGAAAGCCATGTCAAATTTTCCCCTCAAATTTTTGCTTTCGTACCATGTATTCTTTTAGCATGACCCTAATATGTCATACCTGCAACTCGAGAGGGTATGACAGCAAAAAGAAAACCTAGTTTCTGGTGTGGGTTATGAGCAATTGAATCCAGGCCACATGCATCTCCTCTAAATGCTGTTCCCTGAAGACCCCTGCATGCTGTGCGTTGTGCTGCCCACAGCGGTAGTGAGGTTTACCTAGCAAGCTGTTTTTATTACATGTCCTGAGATCATGTTAGAACATGCTAGCATCTCATCCACACTGGCACAGTTTGGTTTTGCCCATGTAGGTGCGATTAAGTCGCCTTTCAAATTGTGTTCCAGCCCCAGATCAGAGAAAGCACGCTGTCCAAATTTGCTGATGACACTAAGATGTGGGGCGAGGTGAACACACTTGAAGGGAGAGAGAGGCTGCAACTAGATTTAGACAGACTACAAAAGTGGGCAGACGAGAATAGGGTGGGGTTCAATGTAGACAAATGCAGGGTGCTGCACCTGGGGAGAAGGAATCCACAGCACACATACAGGCTGGGGAGTTCCCTTCTTGAAAGCACAGAGGCGGAAAGGGATCTTGGAGTCATTATTGTCTCCAAGATGAACATGAGCCGCCAATGCCAGACCGCAGCCAGCAAGGCCAGCCACACCTTGTCGTGCATCCAAAGGTGCATCTCAAGCCGGCCCGGAGAGGTGACCCGCCCCCTCTGTGCGACTGTGGTCAGGCCGCAGCTGGAGTACTGCGTCCAGTACTGGGCGCTGCACTTCAAAAGGGATGTGGCCAGCCTGGAGAGGGGTCAGAGGAGGGCCACCCGCTTGGTGAGAGGGCAGCAGGACAGGCCCTACGAGGAGAGACTGAAGGACCTGAACCTGTTCAGCCTCAGCAAGAGGAGGCTGAGGGGGGACCTGGTGACCGCCTACAAGCTCATCGGGGGGGATCAACAGCAAATAGGCAGAGCCCTTTTCTCCCCAGCACCACCTGGGGTTGACGAGGAACAATGGTCATAAGCTGATGGAGAACAGGTTTAGGTTGGAGAGCAGAAGGCAATATTTTACAGTTAGGGTGGCCAAAATCTGGAACCAACTTCCCAGGGAAGTGGTCCTCGCCCCTACCTTGGGCAAATTCAAGAGGAGGTTGGAGGATCACCTGTCTGGGGTCTTGTGAACCCAGCATTCATTCCTGCCTGTGGCAGGGGGTCAGGCTAGATGATCTGATCAGGTCCCTCCCAACCCTAGCTGCTATGAAACTATGAACAGAACATGACAAATGCACTGTCTCCCACCCCTTGCACATAACATCTCCAGCTAAGCAACAGCCCATCCATGCAGGTCGCTGCAAGAGAACTGTGCAGTGGGCAGATTGGGAACTTCGGCCCCAGGACTGCTAGTCTAGCACCTTTTGGGAGCAGCGTGCTCACCTGATCTCTAGTCTGTTAGGTGCACCCTACCTGCCTTATGCTGTAGCTCCTTAAAGACATTTATTCGTAATTCCCAGCTGTCAGACAGGGGGTCGTTATCAGCAGTCTCTGCTCGTTAGAGCGACATGAATGGAAAGTCAGGAGGATCCCTGGCTGCCATTTGTGGTGGTTGTGGAGGGATACCTGGGGAGAGCATGCAGAGTGCCCACACACCAGATGCTTGCCAGTCAGGAGCACTAAAACAGACTCTGGATACAAGCACACAAGCCTTCCTCCCAGCCAGGGCAGTTAGTCTGCGAAGAGGATGTACCTTGAGGTGGAAGTGCTGGGCAGCTGCCCCCATGTCTGCCTGAGGATCTGGGGAGCCTGAGGCATTTGGCCAGGATTTTATACTAGCTGCAGAGACCAAAATTCAGCTTCACATAGAGAAGGTGATAGGTAACCGTTACCAGCAAATCTTACCTGCGTAGGGCAACTTGCCTCTTGTCTGTCACCTAACCAGTGGACCAGAGATAGCAACCGTCAGAAAACCAGGTGGAGAATTAGACCAGAGACTTTTAAGACATGTCATTTTCTTTCTTTTTTTTTTTTTACTTTTGTAAATGTCACAAACCTGATTCATCCAATTCCTCCTGTTTTCCCTGTAGTGTCTCTTAAATACCAGGGTGAGGGCACGCTGCAGAACAAGAAGAGGTCAGGATTAACTCGGCATGTGCTATTTCTCTCCCGAGCGCTCCTGAGAACCGGAGGGCACATCTGCAGTTTGTATTTCATTCAGGCTCCGAGTAACACGGGCCGTTTGCTTTAGCCGTTGCAGCGCCCCGTCACCTCTTCCTAGCAGGTCAGGTTTGGCTGCAGTCCTGACAGAAGAACTTGCTCCTGCTTCTCTTTGGCAGATGAAGTTTGGGTTTGAGGAAAATGATTAGGACATGAAATATTCATAAATCAACAGAGGCAAAAATAATCCATTCCCGGTTATTGTATTCAATTGTTTTTCCCTCTCTGTGTCTCATTTTACAGTCGTGCCAAGCTGACCTTGTGAAGGACAACGGTCACAAATATTTCCTTTCGGTCTTGGCAGATCCCTACATGCCAGTAAGGACAAATCATCGTTTTCAGACTCATTTACATTTGCTTAGTCTGTCTTGCCTTATGTGCTGCTGTTGTGATGTGGTTGGTGCTCTTGGCCGAGATGTCTTCTCTAGTGACACCCTCTGCCTTACCACGGAGCAGCACTGAGGGCCGCATAGTTGGCCGCAGGGAAAATTGAAATCGGTAACGCAGGGTCCCATGGGAGACACTTTGCAGTTGGACAAGTTTGCAGAAGTCAGTGGGTCTTTAGTACTTTTTATTGGGGGGTAATCTTTTAAACAGAAATTATTTTACTTTACTCTATTTATTTAATCTGAACTGATGTGGCAGCTGCAGGTGCCCTGATAAATGGATTGAAAAGCTGTCTAATTTCACTGTAACTTCTTTACCTGCCTCTGACAAAACACTATTTTGTAGCTTTCTGCTGTAGATATTCCTATGTCCCCTCCAGAAACAGTACACCAGGGACTATTTTCCCCTGGTTTCTACAGTGATAAAAGTACACAGCTGTCATTAGCATTACCTAAATAGGCCACTGGATTTTCTGCACGAAAGCTGTAGAAATCCTGAATCTGAATGAAAAATACAGTGGCATACAAAATAGAGTGAAATGCAATGGAATCACACAAAAACATTGCTCTTATCATTGCCCTGCTTATCCTTAAAGAAATAAAGAGAGAGAAAAGTAAAATAATACAACATGAAATGGCTTTCCTGCCAGCTAGAGGACATAAGTAAACCAGGCAATTCAGAGCTGCAGCTAACCACACGTGAGTGAGCAGGCACTTTCTGAACAGTGTTTTGGGGGGTATTTTTTTTGCACATGCCTATCTTATTTATGTTTGAGATTTTTGGCACAGTGTATTTTAATAACAATAATAAACCCCCAACCCAAACACACACAGTTCAACTGTTTTTAAGGCCCTGAACATTTAATAGAATCATAGACAAGGAGGGTTGAAGGGAGCTCAGGAGGTCATGTCTAGTGCAGCCCCCTGCTCCAAGCAGGACCAGCCCCAACTACATCATCCCAGACAAGGCTTTGTCTAGCTGGGCCTTAAACACCTCCAAGGATGGAGAGTCCACCACCTCTCTGGGTGACCTGTTCCAGTGCTTCACCACCCTCCTCAGGAGAGAGATTTTCCTTCCCTAGAGTTCCCCGAATCTCTGGCTTCAGCTTTGCCATCCATGCAGCATTACAGCTGGCTGCATTTCCTGGCAGAATTGTCATTGAAATGTCTGTCTCCCAAAAGGCAGCTAGACTCAGTCAGACAGACAGACACAGCCAGCCAGCAGGTGCCTGCCACTCTTTCTCTTCTAAGCATTGAGGTGGGCAAGGAGGGAGGGGTAGACTTTCTTGCCTTGTCCCAGCCCCTTGCCATTAAGGAGCTAGAACCCTGCACTAAGCTTGTGGGCTCTCAGGTTAGTGTGGGTTTTAGGGGACTTGCACCAAACAGCTCCAGAAGGCTAGGCGGGGATCTCCTTGCAAGCTCTGCAGCAACATAATGACTCTTCATCTTGTTTTCAAGAAAAAAATGAACCGTACGCTGTTTTGCTTTTAAGGCTGAACACAGAACAATGACCGCTTTCATTCTGGCTGTGATTGTCAACAACTACAATACAGGGCAGGTGAGTCCCAGCAGCCTTCATCCATCCCTTGCCTCTCTTTTGCCCTCCTCTACACCGTAGTCGGGCTTGCATCAGAGCATACCACAGGGCTGGAAGGAGGGAGCGGGAAGGTAGATTTCTAGTCCAGTGTCTCCACCCACCCTCTCACATCCACACAGTTGTCCTGGATGTGCAACAGAGACGATCTCTGCCCAGAAGTGGGGTTAGGGGGAAGCTTCATTTGGCAGCAACCGCTGCCAGGACATTATGAATGGAATCCTGCCCAGTTCTCATTAGCTGGAAGCAGGGAGGTTTTGCTGTAAGTCTTGGGCAGGGGTAGGAAGCCAAGCAGTTGAGTGAGCCATAAACCTCGGGACTCTTCCAGGTGCCAGGTGTGTTTCCACTGAGGGAAAGGCAAGTTTGCTGAGGGGTAGGAAGCCTTTTGGATGTTGTTAATTATTTTGCTTCATAACAGTACATAGCTGACCTCTCCCGATCCTTATAAGACCCACGTGCAAAACATCTCAGATTGTATTTTGCTAGAGCAGCACCTCACCCTAAAGGAATTTTGTCATCCCATAGTTCCCCTGTCTCGACATAACTTGGCTTTTATTGACGGAATCAGAAGCTGCTGGTCTCAGTGAATGGTATTGAACTGTGTTGTAGGAAGCCTGCCTCCAAGGAAACCTCATTGCCATCTGCCTGGAGCAGCTAAATGATCCGCACCCTCTCCTGCGCCAGTGGGTGGCTATTTGCTTAGGGCGGATCTGGCAGAACTTTGACTCGGCCCGGTGGTGCGGCGTGCGAGACAGCGCGCACGAGAAGCTCTACAGCCTCCTCTCGGACCCGATCCCAGAGGTACCGTGTTACGTGCATACATACGTTCTGAGCAAGGGCAGCGCCAGCCATTTTAAAACCAATTTCTTCAAGGAATCTCCCAATTGTATCAAAGTCTGGCTCCAAGCAGCAGCTCTTTGATATTTCCACAGATTAGGGGCTAAGCCATGACGCTCAGTCATTTGGGATGCAGGGTTTACAGATGCTCCCTCCCTGTTTGCTTCCTCCCATTTCAGACCCTCCCGCCCCCAAGTTGTGCCACACGGCTTGCTGTCTGTTCAGCCCATTTTCAATCCCTTTGGTCTGAGTTTGAAAAGCGTTGCCCGCGAGATGTAAAACTACGACTTTAATTGAATGTGTTTAGCCTTTATAGAAAGCATTCTCCCAGAAAGAGAGACTCTTGAGCAGAGCCACCCTCTGATTGTCAGGGACTCGGCGACCCCAGGGGAGTTTTATTACTGCTGGGAGAAATAAGCCTGGAGATAAAGGGCAGTAGCAGCCTGTAGTGATTAAACATTCTTGCTGTGATTTAATGCTCCCCATGCCAGGTATCTGCCACCTCCTTTCCCTTGTCCCCATTCACAGCGATAAGAGTCTCGCAAAAAATCAGCGGACAGTGCAGATGGCTTATCAGCACCTCTGGTCACTTTGCCAGAGGGAGGAGTTCAGAGCTCAGTTTGGAGTCCCGTCCTCCAGAAACTGATAATACTGACACCATTCCCAGTTTCTGCCAAGGCAGGCTGCAGAGAACAAACTGGGTCCCAGTCTGCTGTGTGATGGGTCAGCCTGCCCCTTTTCCTGTTTTTTAAGTCATCTGCACCTTTTTCTTTTGTCCTTGCACTCTAGTGCAAAGGGGACTTTGGTCCAAAAGTAACTCCCTGTTCACATTGCACTGCTAATTAGTAGGTTCTAGCCAGTGCCTTTTGAAACGTCACCGAGGAGGAAGCCAGCAGGTGTTTGGAGGAGAAATGTATTTCCAATTGCACAAAGCTGGAAGGTGGCCAGTTGGATCTGTTCTTCCCTTCTAACGGTGGGCTTCTCTTCAGCCCCCATTGCCCCCTCCATTTGCCTGACTCAGTAGCCTGGCTCTGGAGAGATTCCAGGGTAAGAGCTTGCAGCGAGAAGTGCGAAGCCAGGACCAGGTAGGAAGCCAACGGGTAATGTTTGGTCTCTTACAGGTGCGCTGTGCTGCTGTCTTTGCACTGGGCACATTTGTGGGCAACTCTGCTGAGCGGACTGATCACTCCACCACCATCGATCACAATGTGGCCATGATGCTGGCCCAGCTCATCAATGACGGAAGCCCCATGGTTAGAAAGGTACGGGAAGATGGTTTAGCGGGAGGTGGGAGGATCAGCAAATCCTATGCAAAGTGGACATCTTTGTGGATTTGGAAGCATTTATTTGGTCTGTCTTTTGATGCCTTGTAGAGAGGCTTACTTTACTACTCAGCAGCAACACACAGGCGCAGCCATCCCTGGTGAACATCTTAGGGTTCTAGCTGCTGGTTACAGGTGAACAGACTGCCTTGTTTTGTCACCTGCATTGGAGTCGGGTGGTCCCTGGGAGCGCTCAGAGCCAACTCCCTCATCCACCTGTGTACATACCTGCTCCCCCCCTGCCAAAAAAGTTGCCTGGACTCGTTAGACTCTCCCACCATTTACTTGAAGTGGAATCTGTACAATGTCAGACCAATGTTACTGTGTGCTTGCTCTCTCTGTCCCAGTAATCTGTTTCCATGGGCTCGCCCTGAGGAACACTGAGAAGAGTTTCCTTTAGCATATGAGAGACTGACCACAGGGGCACCTCCATCTACAACAGGACAGTAATGGCCCAATGGAAACACATGGGCCTTCTCCCTTGCTCGGTGCTTTCCCCCACTCCTTTCCATTTGCCTTGTGTTATTACCCAGAACCTACTGAGCAATTTGGTTGCCCCAGTGGCTCCTTCAAACAGCTCTGGAGTATTGTAGCTATTCAGATGGTTCTGCTGGAAGTACAGAGCCTTTGTACATCACGCAGTTCAGAGTGCCAAGGCCTTTTGTGTTGATCACTTTGCATCTTCATTTCCTGGGAGATTTATATAAATGTCAGTCTCCTCTCCGCCTCATGCTTCTAGCATGAAGAATAGTGTTAGCTGCTTTCGCCATTCTGAAGAAAAGCAAGTTAGCCTGGCACGTAGCTCATGGTTTCGAACATCAAGTAGCCACAAGGGTGCTGGCTGGTAGGAGCTTACTTGATTGTGAGCCCAAGACTGTGCGTCCTCTCAGCGTTAGTAATTCCAGTACCGTCACTTGAGCGCTGATCCATCTCCCATCTGCCCCGAACGTCAGAAAATCCCATTTCCCGCTTGGGCTCGGAGGAGTCTCTCAAATTGGTTTTAATAGGCATAGAATTTCATTTGCTGTCTGATACAAGGGATCCCTTTTGAAGAAAAAAAATGTTGTACGTAAAACACGCTGTATAACTTAATGACCAAATAATAAAGATCAGGTATTAAAATGGGATTGCTCAGACCAGAACACATCTGCCATTTGATAACGCACCACTGAGTCCACCTGACCCACCTCATTCCCTTAAGCAAATGTCTGAAACAAGAGTGCATCTCTTTGTTTGCACACTGATCCTCTGAGTTTGAAGCCAGTACTGTGGCAGGGACAGAGCCAGGAGAGGAGTCGCATTAGCACCCGGACTCCGAAGGATTCTGGCTGATTGCATTACATCCTCCAGACATGAGAGCTGCAGTCTGTCTCTGTAAAGCTCTTCTGTTTATTACTGTTTTGATAGCAAAGTTTTACATTACAGGACCTTGGGTTTGAAATAAAATATTAAATATTAATCTGTTACTGGAAACATGAAGTGTACGGAAGCCCAAGGGGAGGATGCAGGATGGGCTAGGGAAACATGACGTCTCCATTCAGTAAAGAGACTGCGTTGCTTTCGGAAATCAGAAGGAGGGCCGGTAAGAGCGACTGAGTAGCGTCTCCCTTGTCTCTTGAAGGTTACAGGTTCTTCTCGATTATCCGACACGTGCACATGAGCTACCTGTTGGGCTTCTGGATTGTTCCAGGCACAACCCGGCGGCCAGCCTGTCCCTGGCGGGATGCGCTCAGGTGTTCTGGTTTTGTTTCAGTGCGATACCAGTAGCACAGCAGAGGCTGGGCTGAACTAACACTAAGAGGACATCTTATGCTTCAGAATACGTGGCGATGTGACTGCGTTTCAATGTATGTCTTCTTGGAGAGACATCAACATCTACTTTAGAGATGAAGGCCATTGAAGAGGTAGCAGGAACCACCGCAAGCCCTTCATATCAGTCATAGTTTCATAGCTGTTAGGGGCTGGAAGGGACCTGACAGATCATCGGGTCCAGCCCCCCTGCCCTTGGGCAGGAAAGACTGCTGGGATCAGATGACCCCAGCAAGGTGATAGCAGTCTGGCATGGCTGCCAACGTGATCCTACATGACTGTCCAAGCCTTGTCACGCCTTCCCCCACCATCTCTTCAGGGCTCCCCTCTCTCAGCCCACTAGACCACGGGAATGGATTGGCGCTCCATTGCCTGGTAAGCAGTGCTGCTCCTAAGAGCCAGCATCGGTACCAGGAGAGCGGTGTGCCTGGCTGCCTCCCCTGGCCTGACCGTGTCAGCAAGGTTAGGAGTACAGTTGAGCTGGCTTCCCAGTGGCTCTGCAATGCCCCCCAGCAGCCCATTACTGGTGTCTCTTTGGTGGGATTTCTAGTGATTGTAGCACAGGTAGCAGCTCCTTCCAGCATGTCACATGTGAGCAGACTGTGCTTTAGCCTTTGCCGTGGGGGGCAAGTGTCCTGCTCCTTAGCACAATTCATTATTGCACTGCAGGAAGCACATGTCTCGTGGGCAGGGGAGCAGCCGGTACGTGAGAGGAGAGCGCGGTGTCCTAGCCTCCAGTTCGGTACTTTCCGTGACACGACATCAATCTGACAATATCAGGCTGAATCAAAGAGTGGGGGGAGCAGGGAGCCTGGCCAGGAGTAAAAGACCTTTGTTGTGAAGAATTCATTTTGAAACCAAGCACTTTGGCTTTGCTCGGATCCTCGCGCTGGAAGAAGGAAAAATCAATGCTTCTCCAAGCCAAGTAGAAAAAAGTGCCCTCATCCTCACTTGAGGTGAGAAATGGGTATTAATTCTGTCAGAGGGCTGGTTGCACAGGGACTTTGTTCTGCCTTGTTTTTAAAAGCTAAAAAGATGCTCACGGAAGAGAAGCTCCTTCTTGTCATGTTGGCTCAGGACAGGGGATTCGCAAAGCTCTTCCCTTTTGCCATCCGTTTGCCGCGTCTCCCTGGAGGGCCAAGGGGGATCGTTGTGTATAATCTCTCTGCTTTGGAGAGAAGTGTGCACGGACCAGCAGAGGTATCCTCCACGCCGTTGTGCCCCTCTCCTCTGTTAGAAGCACGTTAAGAACAAACTCTACGCCAGTATTGTTTTCCAGCACCATGCAGCGGTGAAAAGCATCGCAGAAGAAGCAAATGCTCTGGTCTTGCTGGCAGGTGACCTGAGAAATGTTTTTTTTCTCTGTGGCAGCCTTTGCTTTGGGGAACAGGGCGATGTCACAGGCTCACAAGCGCAATCTGTGAAAATGTATGGTAATTTTCTGTAATGCAGGATTATTTGGGGATCTGTCAGACTGGTGGGGTGTTCAATTTAAGATGATGCACCACAGGACTCAAGTTCAGTCAGCAGGGTTTTGGCATAACAGCAAGGTCTCGCGGGACAGATGCCTCTGTTATATCTCCTCTATATTCATCACGGTGCTAAGCACCTAGGAATTTCTGCGGCACTTAGCACCATGAAAAATGAATGTCTCAGATCTACAGAGTGGCTTGGAAATACAGAGGCATAGACTGCCCCCCTTCCTTCGAATGGAAAAGAGAAAGTCTTACAATAGGGATTTGCACTGTTGTCCCTTCCCTTCACCCCCGAATGCAAGCATATTTGGTCCTGAGAAGCATTTGCCATTAAAAGAGACATCAAGGAAGAATATTTATGTGCGGCTTATAGCTGCAGTGTTTAAATTGCTGGTTCACAGACTCGAGTAGACTTTGCGCTGGGTCTGAGGCTCTCGTCAGCGCCTCTCGACTGAAGCCCAGGGCTAGGGCAAGAATTCTCCGCCCAATGTCATCCCCCCCGGCTGGCCGGCCGGCCGTTATCTTTTGCTGGAGATCGGTTCTAGGCAGGGATCCATGTGACTGCTGTGCTTTATTTCTAACAGTAAATTTCATGTCAGGCGATCATTCCTGCATGGAGCAAATTGTTTCTGATGATAAAAGATACTCCCTGCATGTGCCGTGAAAAATATACCCTCTGCTTTGATTTTTGGTTCTTGGTATCGGGTAGCCCAGGGTCTACGTGATGAATTCCTCTGGAATAGCTTGTTGATCGCTTTGTTCTCTAGCCGTCAATAATTCCCCTTCCTTGCTGTCAGTTGTTTGATTTTTGACATACCTGATGGTCAGGGTCTGTTTCTTCCCTCCTGCCCCCCTCACAGGAGCTGGTGGTGGCTTTGAGTCACCTCGTGGTTCAGTACGAGAGCAATTTCTGCACTGTTGCCTTGCAGTTCATGGAAGAAGAGAAGAATTACCCTCTGCCTTCTCCTGCTGCCACAGGTATGCCTTTTGAGTTCTGATAGGCAGGGAAACTGTGATCCTTATAAGTACCCAAGAGCCTCAGTCGAAGGGAATTGACTGCATGGCCAGGTGCTGTTTTTTCAGATGCTGATCTGCCCGACAAACAGCAGGGCTATACGGTTTAGTGATGCTGTGGGCAGCCCTGCTGCCTGTTTGGCAGTGATGCATTGCCCTGCAGAGCAGCATCTCGGGCAGGTCTCCATCTGAAAAGGCCGCGGCGTGCTTCTGGCGTGCTAAGGAACCCTGCAGACTGAACTCCCAGCTGGCCTGGGCAGGGATTTATCCTGCTCGAGGTTGAAGTGTGCTGTCAAGGCAGGGGGTGAAGCTGATGCTGATCTTCAGCCCCACGGCATATTAAACAGGTGATTTCTCTCTTGCGTGAGCTGAGGCTGCTAATGAGAAGTCTCATTGTTCTACAGCGAGCTCATCCTGCTGTGAGCTGTTGGAAAGCATCAGGTGAGACAGCGGAGAACTTCACGTTGCAGTATCATCCTGGAGCGTACCTGTGCCCTTTCATTTGTCTCTCTCCCTTTGTGCTTAATGTGCTGTTTCTTCTCACCCTTCTGCATTTGGCTTCATTTGAAGAATAAAAGGCCCTTAGAGAAATTGGTCCTGGCCTCTCATTTTTTAGAGATTAAATATATTGGAAATCATCAGGGATAACAGGACTTTTGCAACAAGAGCTTGCAGGAGAGAATGTGTACTCGCTCTGCAATGAGTAATTTAATAGTTCCTTTGTCTGGAGCAATGAATCATATTAGAAACCAGCTTCCCCACATTCCTCCCTCAGCTGCAGAAAATAGTCATCCCCTACGATTATATAGCACTTTTCATTATCCGGAAGGATCCCAGCGTGTGCTTCAAATGGGCATGCTGTAAGCAGAGCTCGCATCACTGAGACGCAGGCACGGCTGTGAAGGAATGACCTAAGTGGTCTGCAGCCTTGACACAATCCGCAGGTGGTTAGGAGTAGAGGTGAAGGGTGGCTTGGTCAGTTGAAATTACAGGTCTTCAGGGCATGGGGTAAGAGTTGAGTCAAAGCCAGAGCTGAAATGTGGCCCAAAAGTCAGGAGTTTAATAAACTTTTATTACGGAAAAAAATGCCACCAGATTGTTAATGAACAGATGCAATCGGGACTTAATAGCTTAAGTGTCCTCTACATGACCGCACCTCCAGCAACAGAAGACATTAGGACCAGGTGTGGGCACCGGTCTAGCACTGGCCTGGAGGAAAGAAGCACCTTGTTCCTCCTAGCTGTCTGGACAAGGCTTGGTCCTGCTGAATTTATGGGATTTAATGGGACTGGAGCCCAAGAACTTGGGGCCTTGTTCTTTGTGTGGAGGGGAGATGTGGGCACCCCAGCCCTTGGTCTTTACTCACTACTTCAGGACAGATGGCAGTAACTGAGCATCCTTCAAACCAGTGGTTTGCTTAAATTGAATGAATTGCTTCCTCTGATCACAGTATGTTGCTGTGGCGGGGCTGCTCCCTTGTGATTCTGTGCACAACTGCTAAACTTTGCCTTTGCAGAGGGTGGGAGCTTGACGCCAGTCCGAGATAGTCCGTGCACTCCGCGACTGCGGTCAGTCAGCTCCTATGGGAACATCCGAGCGGTCACCACAGCCAGGAACCTGAACAAGTCTCTGCAGAACCTCAGCTTGAACGAAGAACGTAAGAGGACTCTGGTTTCTTTTTCTTACCACTTCCCTCGTGCAAGGTTTTATTTCATTTGGTCCATTTGCCAGCTCTGAAATTCTGCCACCTGAAAAGCATCAAGGGCCAACTAACCATTATGGCAGGGCATTCGTCTGCCAATCCTACAAGGAGATATGTGTATCCCCGGCCTTTATTAGTATTAATTTTATAAGCTACAGGAGACTGAGCAGGGCACCCTCCTGAGGCACAGGGATTTTCTACAGACTGCATCATTCCTGGAACCTGACACGTAGCCTGTTTTTGAACGCCCAGTGTTCAGAAAGCAGGGTTTGAAGATATTTTTCCTACCCCTCACCTATTGCATGTCGCAGCGTTGGTAACAGTGCCCAGATAGCAGAGCGCTGATGGTTCTGTCGCTAGCACTTGCTCTTATGTCTGTCTGCTTCCCTTTTGGCAGCCGGAAGCTCTGTTGCCTTCTCTCCGGGGAATCTCAGCACCAGCAGCAGCGCCAGCAGCACCTTGGGCAGCCCTGAGAACGAAGAGTACATCCTGTCGTTTGAGACCATTGACAAGATGAGAAGAGTCAGCTCCTATTCCTCGCTGAATTCACTGATAGGTGAGCAAGGGCTCTCCTGCCTTTCCTCCTTTTCTCCTCCTTTGTTTGCCCTCTTGTGACCACAGCGTTGCAGGTCAGCAAAAAGCCCTGATGCGTGGCTCCGGGAGGTGGCACCGTAACAAGAATTCTCACGTTGGGTAAATGCTGGCACTGAGCCTGAGCAGGTTATATGGAGAAAGGGCAAGAGGGGACTTAACCTGAAGATCTGTTTGGGGAAACGGGATCAAAGAAAAGAGAGAGACCACAAGCAAAGAAACGGAGGTGTTTTGTGATGAGATTCCTTTTAAGGCTTTGCAGTGGAAAGGTAGCACCCCTGAGGATCTTATAGCCACTGCAGTTTCCATGGACAGGATAGCTGGGCTCCTTGCCACTGGCTTCTACCTCGCCTTTGATTTTGTTGGAAGTTGTGCTTGGTTTGTTACACCATTTGCAGTAGTCTACAGGCAGGCCTTTTCCAGTTGATATTTCTGGTGAGTATGTGCATGCCTGTGCAGTTTTAAACTGAGATGAGAAAGGAGAAGCCCTGGGCCATGTCTTAATTGCCTGGGTGCCAAGAGAGCAGACCAAGTTTGGTGCTTCGCAGAAGTCCATTTTGGGCAAAGAGGACCAGAACTGATCCCTTTCCATCCAGTCCCATCTGCACTACTTCCTTCTGGGAAAGGTAGGAATACCAGCTGTCATGTCTATTGATCTCCTTCACAGCAAACGCTAAACTATCCTGTTCTGCCCAGAAGCCTCGGCCCTTTAGTTAATATCCATAGTGCAGAACAGAGATGTTGGTGCCTGTAGCGCGCAGCTGATTTTGCATGGGAGATGCAACCCAGCATTTCCTCTGTAGAACCGAGTAGGAAGCTTTTCAGTAGACTAGTTCAGCTCTTTGACTATTTTTTTCTGATAGCATTTTCCAGGCATGCCTGGTCGATCTAGCAGCATTTTTCTTTAACTCAGCATCAGCTGTCTAATGGGCTAAGAACCGTTCCAGTGTGACAGAAAGCAACAGAGCCAGCTAACATGGAGGTGACCCAGGTTGGAAACAGCCCCTTGCCCCACGGACTGGAGAAGATGCTGTACGTCAGACAAATGACAGGGAAGGCTCAGATCCATCCATGGATATGAGTTATATGGGCCCCCCAGTCATGCCCGCACCTTGAAAAGTCCCTCTCACCTGTGGTCTCATGGGGGTAGGGTGAAAAATGTAGCAGGCCGGTGAATGAAAATCCTTCATGCTGCACTCCAGTACCAGAAGGATTTGGGGATCACACTGATAAACAGATCTAGTTGATCATTAACTGGGGGCTGAGGGCCCCCATGGCAGTTCAAAATTGCTCCTTTTCCATCTTAATAAAGTGCAGTTGTTAAAATCCACAGCCTTGACACAGACTGTTGACCCTGGTCGTTTCTGAGGAGGCCTCGCAGGCATGCTGGAGTGCTTCCACCCGTAGTAGACTAGGACCTCAGCTCCCTCCTTCGTCACAAGCTCGTCCCCACCCTTCTGCAAGAGACTCCCGCTGCCTGCTCGATGGTTTGTGTGCGTCTCAGGAGAGCTTTACAGCCTAGCTGAAAAAGAGTCTAGGAATGAGCTGGAGATGAGTGAGGGAAACTTAAGAAAACAAAAAAGCGGTGCTCCAAAGCCTCCTTCATTCATATTCAATCGGGAAGAGCTCATATCCAGCAGTAAACGACACAGCTTACAGAGGTGTTTAAAATTCATAACTTACACAGAATCCCATTACCTTCAGCATTTGCGTGTTTAAAGCCAGGGGTTTTTCATTCTTGCGAAAGGATCGCAGTCTCTCAACCTGCTCCCAAAGGGAAGGTTTCTCAGCATTGCTTCAGCTCCGGCAGCCCGTTAGCAGGGCCGTGCACCACTGTGTAGTAGATCTGGGCCAGAGTCGTAGTGTCCCTGCCTTGAGCTGGCAGGACAGGCTGGGACCAGCAGCTCCTCCTTTTTGCTTTAAACCCACTCCCTGGGCACCTGCTGATGCTCCAGGCTATTTTGGGCAGGCCGCCCTCTAAACCAGAAGTGGTTTGGGGTGGGAGGGTCAAGTTCTTTTCATACCTTCACTTCTTGCTCTGGTCTCAGTCTTGCATCCTCTAGGCTGTGTCAGGGGAGTGGGGAGAGAGAGAATGATGGTGAACTGTAAAGGTCCCTTTTTATGCTGCTTGTAGCAATTATGGTCAGAAAATCCCCCCCTCTAAGGGCATGAGCCTCTCCATCTGCACTCTGCATTTCGTGGGGCGTTGGAGGGCCTGTGATCTACTGTGAGAATCTCTTTTGGGTGGGGAAACGTCAGCTGATTTTGCCTGTGGTGCCATTTGCGTTACGTATATCCGCCGGAAATCTGGGTTTGGCAGCCACCCTGGGCCATTTCCACCCCAGGTCCCTTTGCTGCCAGTGTTTGGGGAAGGTGCTTGTTATTCATTGCTTCACTACGAGCACTGTCATGAGAAGCAGTACTCTGCTGCACTCCCTGAAGGATCCCAGCTGTCTCGGGGCACGTGGAGGGTAGTGGTCCCCAGGGCATCCTATTGTGAGACAGACTAAGTGCAGGGACTAGCCTACGAGTTGTGAGATGTCTGCAAGAAATGTTAGTTCCCCACTTGCCGTCACTTTGGGTTTGATCTCGGAGGAGCAGGCTGCCACGCACAGTTCACACAACCCAGAGAATATTAGATTTTTTTCTCCATCTGAATCTTGGTCTCCCAGGACTGTCTCTTGCACTGGGGGGAAAAAGTGAAGGAGATGATGGGATACATCGACAAAGCAGGTGGGATTCACTTTAACGGGAATTGTGTATCAGAGTCCCTGGGCTCCGTGTGAAAGATTTCGGCTCTGTATTTTCATTGGGTATGTCAGTTCAAAACTTGCTTTTCACCGCAGGAAAAGCATGCAGCCCCAAGCAGGAGCCGTTGTCTCCCGTCCAAACCACACCAGCACGCCTGGTGGGCTTGTGGTCAGTGTTTGCCGCTGTGGTACGTGGGGAATGGACTGCCTCTCGCCCCCAAGATCAAGGCTTAGAATCACTGCAGTATCTTTAAGGAGCTAGCAGAAGCAGGCAAAGGAAAGGGCCTCAGTAAAAACACCAGTGCCCAGGTTTGGGTGCCGCACAACTGTGCCCTCGTGGTACCCAGGTGACCTGCCTAAGCTCTTAACCAGTTGTGTGGCCCTGATGGCCAGTGGCTGAATGGATGGAGAGTTCTCGGTATTCCTGGGTGGATCTTGAATTTTGAAAGTGGGGTGCAAATGGTGAAGGACATCATCCTTTATAAAACCACCTGTTCTTCTCCAGTTCAACATCAACAAGAAGCGTTACTAATAGGCTAGGGGCCTAGGCTGTCTGATTCAATTTAAGATTGAAGCAAAAATGAATAGAACTCCTTTGGAATGAGTTATCACCAGTCTGCAGGGCTTCTTTTCCAGGAGCAATGAAGGCAGCAGCAGGGCAGAACAAAGGCTGGCTGGACAGGTGGAACATGCAGCCCGTTAAAAAGGAGAGAGGGTCGTTACCTCCTGTGGAACGATAGGCTTAGAAGGGGCCAGGTAGATGACAATGAGCCAGGAAGTCAATGGACTCCTTCCGTGCTGCCGGTGTGTAGAGCAGGAGTCAAAAAGGGGGTGCGATTGCACCAATGCTGCTCCCGACCCCCAGATCTGCCCCTGCGCGTACCCAAACAAAGCCAAAGTTATCACTGAAGAAACACTGTTTATTTCTTATGTTCATTGCTGACGAGAGTCATTTTGTAAATCTGTCCTACAAGGTCCGTTAAACCGGCTTTGAATTGGTCCGACTAATTACACAGCTCAGCTGTTGTTTTAAATTGCACAGCCCACCACTTGCCTGGTGCTTTGATTGCATCTCGTGGATGTTTTTTGTCGTGGTCCGCTCTGTGAAATCGAACCTCTCCTCCTGCTGCCCATACCCCCGTCATTATCGCGCTGACTCGGGTTGTTCCAGTTCTGCCAGGAGCTACGTCAGATGTGGCACTTGCTTGAGTCGGTGCGATCGCCAGTGCTATCATCAGAGAAAAAAATGAATGTAATCTAGCAGGAGAGGGGAACACGTCTTCGAGCGCTAGCTCTATGAGTCTGAGAAACCTTTATAGAAATTCCCTCTGTTCTTTTCCAGCGCATGTGGAATTGCACTGGCAAAGTCCCTTTTCCCTTTTTTCATCATGCTTAGATATATAAAAGATGTCTTGGGGTTCTTTCTTCATGCCTGCGTCATTGGTGAGGTCGTTATCAGTAGGGCTGGAAATACTGATAGATTCCCCTCTGCCTCCCCACTCCCCCTCTTTCATGAACTTTAAAAGAAATCAAGCCATCCCGATTTCCCAGCGGCCCTTATGTAACTTCCAGCACAGCCGAACACGCAGGAAGCAGAATGCTGAGCAGGCTTCAGGCAACCTTCGCAGCGCTGTTACCCAGGCAGCTGCTGCAGTGTCTGCTACGTTTCTTCCCAGTCTTTTAGCACTCTGTCATTTTGGAGTTGTTTTCAGGGTTAATTCAAGTGCTGACGAGAGCAAGCCTTATAATGGCCTGTAGCAAGGCAAAGACCAGCACAGTTCCACCATCATTTCCATTCTGCTTGGGTCTCTCCTGAGCAGCTGCTTGCTTTACTGTGCAGTGACTTGTCTTTATTGCAAACCTATATAAACAACCGAGGAGGAGAGGGAATCTCCCCTTCCGGCCGAAGCCAAAATTTGACACTAGGTCTATAGAAAGAGAAGACCAAGCAAGGCCACCTGTCTGCTGTCCCGCTCAGTTTTCAGTGCTGTATTGCTGTTGCCCAGCTGCGGTCTCAGCATGGGCACAAAATGGGGTGAGACTGTGTCTAGAATCTGGTTGATCTCTGTACTAGGGTTTATCGGCATGCTCGCTTGTCCCGCGGGGCAAACTGGACATTGCTGCACCTTTATCTGGCCCAGAATGAGTTTCCAGGATGCAGTCTTACGTGAAGCCCACATGCTAGGAGAGGTTAGGAAAAGCTGTGACAGGCTGTTCCACGCAGGTTGCCCAGTAGAAGGTCCCACTGGGTAGCAGTTGCTTGTTCAGCAG